CAAGCAACTGATGGGCCAGATTCCCGGAGAGCAGTAAGTAGACAAAGGGAGTGGGTGCCCAGGGTCAGGAGGGCAGCATGAGGGAGTCTCCTGGGTCAAGCCTTGTGGACATGGCTGTCAAGCCGTATGTACACCTGCTGACTTCTACCCATGCCATCTTCCCCCACCTGCCACTGTCTCTCCTCAGTCTGGACCATCAGACCCTACTCCAGGGCGTGGTAGTACTTGAGGAATTCTGCAAGGAGCTGGCCGCCATTGCATTTGTCAAGTTTCCCCCACATGATCCTCACCTGAACTTCTCTCCACCCCCGGAAGGGCAAGTCTAAGCCAGGAGCATGATGGGCGGGGGAAGACTCCTGCCTGTACTTCTGCCCACAGGCAGCTTCCTGCCTGGCCATGCTGCCACTCTGTCCTCCAGACTGGGGACGTCAGCTGCAGACCTCACCTGTTGACCATGTGAGCTGAGGTTTCAGGGCGGCACCACAGAGCAAAAGAGCTGGCTTCTAAGGCGGTGGTATTCTTGGGGCTTTCTTGGAGCAGCTGGAGGATGGTCAGTGAGCATCTAGACCCTGCCCTGCATGTGTTGTGTGACTATCCCTGCTATATTGTGACCAGAGCCACAACATGAGACATCGCTAGGGGCAAAGGAAATGATCTACTGCTGTCATTGAGGCTCACTCGACATCCAGGCTGGAAAGATAGGGGCCAAGAGTCCCTGCCTGTCACATTAGGTATCATGGAAGCTGCTGAAGACTCTGGAGATTTTTTCATGGCTTCCTTAGTGTGAGCAGTAGTGAAGGCGATAGAGAGGGGGACTGAGGGGAAGCCCCCCTTCCTACTCTGCTCTCCTGGAGACTGTTGCAAAATTTCCAACAGCCTCATGGCAGATGCCCAAAGCATGCTCCGCGCCCAGGCGGGGGCAGCTGCTAATAAGAGCCTTGGCTCAGCTACAGCCAGGGCAGGCAAGGGCCTTCAAGCTGGGAGTTGGGTGCCAGGCTCGAGCTCCAGCTGGTTCCTCTCTGGCGCCTTCTAAACCCGTCTTAGCAAGTCCACAACACCTGGGCAGAGAGGTCATTGACCAGGGGTGGGTCAGCCTTGCTCTCTGAATTGTGCCCAGCACCCAGGGATCCCAGTGAAATGCACTTCTGGGGAGCACAGGCACTCAAGGTACAAATGGGATAGGACACTCCAACTCCAGACCCCTGAGGCCTAGTGAAGAGGGACTGAGACACAAGCAGATAGCTCTGGTATTGTTCTTCTTGTGTCCTCCATGGCTGGGGCTGCCACCCCACCCAGCCTGAATCTGTCTCAACCTGTAAGAACACACGGGCGGCGCCAGGCATTACCTCACAACAAGCCTGAAGTTGTTGGCTTTGCTCCTGGGCAAGGAGGAGCAGGCCAGAGCCCCTTTTGCTTCCTTTTCCTGCCCATGCTGCTTCTAGAAGCTGGGCACAGGTTGCCAGGAGGTGACATGAAAGAGGAGGAAACTCAGTGACCTCTACCTCTCCCGAATTCCTCCCAGCGGGGGAGGACTTGTCTGCTGCTCCGAAGAACGTGATGCACTCCTGTGTGTACGAACTGTGTGTGTCAGTGTACATGGGTGCTGGCGTGGGAACAGGAGTGGGTCTTCACTCTGAGATTCACCATTCAAGGGTCTGGGCAGTAATGCACTTTGGCATTTGCATGGTGTCTTTGCAACAGCACAGCAATAAACAGTGTGATTGTATGGACACAATGACTGTTCCTCTAGCCTGCTTGCCTTCCCAGACCTTTTCTGCCCCGTGAGCCCATCTTACACCCCAAGTAAGACAAACTCAATTCCTTTTCCAGCACTGGGGGAGAGAGAAATGGTAGGTAGGTAGGTAGTGAGTTGACATTGCAAATTTGATCCTCCTCAGCACCAGCCCGGAACTGACTCTTGGCTGAGCAACATTATTCAGTTCACCTCCAGCTGAGCCTTCCTGCAGGAGTCATCAAGCCATGGTAGCACTTGGTGTTGCTTGTGTGCAACATGAGTCACCACTGGGATGGATGAAAACTTGGAGAGGGAATCTAATAGTATACTTCAGAGATAAGAGTGCTTATTTAGTTGGGCAATGGTGGCACATGCCTTTAATCCTAGCACTCAGGAAGCAGAGGCAGGCAGATCTCTGAGGCTAGCCTGGTCTACAGAACAAGTTTCAGGACAGAAAGGACTACACAGAGAAACCCTGTCTCAACAACTGAGAATGCTTATTTAGCATGCTTAAGGCCCTTGGGCTCAATCCTTAACATTGCTTTTTATGTTTACTTGGTGGGTGGATATCGTAGTTTTGAGAACAGGTCCTGCTTTCAGGCTGGCTTTGAAATGGATATGCTTTTGCTTCATCCTGCTGAGTGCTGGAGTTACAGGTGTGTAACCTGATGCCCAACTCCCAACTTTGTTTTAAGGAAAAATAAATGAATAAATAAATAAATGGTATGGGAATGGGTGTTGTGAGTCATCAAGAGTACCAGGGGTCAGGCAAAGGGACTGAGAAGCAGGTCTTTCAGTGGGGCTCCAGGATGAGTCACAGAATCACCTGGAGAGCTGGGTTAGAAGCTAAGGACGCTCTGCTCTTGCAGAGGACCTATGTGTGGTTCCTAGCACCAATGTTAAGCAGCTTCCAACTGCCTTTGACTGCAGCTCCAGGGGATCTGATGTCTCCAGCCGTGGAGGGCACCTGTACTCCTGAGCATATACACCACATAGAAACATACATAATTAAAAAGAAATATTACTATGTTCTTTTAAGTTGGGTATTACTGGTTCATGCCTTTAATCCCAGCACTTGGGAGGCAGAGGCAGGTGGATCTCTGTGAGTTTGAGGCCAGCCTGGTCTACAAAGCTACACAGAGAAACCCTGTTTCAAAAAAAAAAAATTATTTTTTTAAATTTCTATTAAGAATAACTCTAAGCCAGCAGTTCTCAACTTGTGAGTCAAACCCCTTTGGAGGTCGAATGATCCTATCACAGGGGTCACCTAAGACAGTGGGAAAACAGGTATTTATGTTATGATTTATAATAGTAGCAAATTTATATTATGAAGTAACAACAAAAAGAACTTCACCCAACATAAGGAACTATATTAAAAGGTTGTAACATTAAGAAGTGTGAGAACTGCTGCTCCAAATATCTTTTTGAGATGCCAGTGCCAAGCTGGGGAGAAAAACCGTTTGACAAAGACATGAATTTGAGTTCCCAGCATCCAGGTGAAAAAGCGAGGTGTGGCCGTACGCACACCTGAAGCCCCAGCACTGTGGGTGGAGAAGACCCGAGGACCACTGGGGCTTGCTGGGCGCCAGCCTAGCTCCGGGTTCAGTGAGAGACCCTGTGTCAAAGGAGTAAGGCGGAAATCATCCTCCTCTGACTTCTGCACATGTGCACACATGTGCGCGCGCACAGATAAAAATGCCAGCGCCCAGCTGGCTTCAGCAGCTTAGTCAGTGTAGTGGGTGGACAGAATTGTCTGAGAGCTCTCTGGGTGATGGGGATATGTACCAGGATTGAGAATTACCAGGCCAAGTAGTGGGAGTGAATGTCACGGCCCTTCTCTCTGTGTGGGACCGGAGGAGTACTGAACTGAGGAAAAGGGCTTAGGTTCTAGTTGGGACCATTAGGTAGCCTGCTTCCCTAGTGTGTGAGACCCTGGGTCAGACCCACAGCACCACAAAAATGAAAAAAATAGAAAAGACTATCATTTCTTTTTGTTTTGTTTTGAGACAGGGTCTTTCTGTGTAGTGCTGGCTGTCCTGGAAGTTTTTATATAGACCAGGCCGGCCTCAAATGCACTGAGATCCTCCTGCCTGCCTCTGCCTCCTGAACGTTGGAATAAAAGGCATGCACTACCAGCAGGGAATGGTGGTGTGCACTTTTAATGCCAGCACAGGCAGAGACAGGTGGGTCTCTGGTGATGACATATTTCCTTTGCCCCACTGCTTTTGGTTTGCATTTAAATTTTTAATTATGTGTGTCTATGGAAGGGTATGTGCACATTGAGTTGCAGTGTTCACAAAGGCCCGAGAGGGTGTTGGATCTCCTGGAGCTGGAGTTCTAGGTGGTTCTGAGCCACTCGGTGTGAAAGCTGGGAACCAAACTCAAGTCCTCTGAAAGATCAGTACATGCTCTTAACACCTGAGCTAATCTGTCTCTCCAGTCCCAAAGTTTTCATCAAATGTAATAATAATAATAACAACACTTGTCATATCTAGATTCCCAGGACTCAAGAATCAGAGGCAGGAAGATCACAACAAACTTGAGGCTAGCCTGCTCTATGGGTGGATTCTATCTCACGAAAACAAAACTCTGTTAAGGCCTGGGGACATAACTCAGTTGGTACAGTGCTACATAACCTGAGGAAAGGGCTTAAACAAAACTAAAAAGTCACCGGATGCTGGTGGTGCACGTCTTTAGTCCCAGCACTCAGGAGGCAGAGGCAGGTGGATCTCTGTGAGTTCCAGGACAGTCAGAGCTACACAGAAAAACCCTGTCCAAAAAGAAAGGGAGGGAGGGGGAGGGGGGATGGGGAAGAAGGGAGTGAGGGAGGAAGAAAAGGAAGGAAGGAAGGAAGGAAGGAAGGAAGGAAGGAAGGAAGGAAGGAAGGACTAAAACATCAGGATCATGGAGCACATGAAAACAGCTCAGTACCCAGAAGCTCAAAGAGAAACTTGGGCCAAGATGTGACTCTCAGCTCTCTATTGTCCCACATGCAATTTCACCAGACCAAACTGTTCCAACACCTGGACAGGTCTGAGCTGTGTTTTTATTAGGGGTGTGGTCACTTCAAAGTCCCACACCCACCCGGCAGGACAGAAAAGCTAAAGAGAGCCTGGGTGGGTTGAGGCTTCAGTGAACAGTGCTGCCTACCCGGGGAGCCCTACACCCCTGCATCACATCTGGGTACATCATGAGGAAAGACCTGGGTGGCTGTGGGTGGGACAGTAGCCCCAAATCATCTCCATACAGACATTTAGGCAAGAAGGCAAGTTAAGCAACACCTTTTTACTCAGCAATGACTCTGCCCTGAGGGACGAGTCCCCCATGTCCCATCCCCCTAAGGGCTTGGACGGATCAACATTCAACTTTTACCAAAGTGAACAAAGAAATAAGATGATGCCATTGGGGTTCAAAAAGCTTCTCACGGTTTTGAGGGAAGCACTGTGTACCCTGAGAACAATGGAAACCCCTGAGCACTGGATTCAAGGCACTCTCCCTTTGGGCTCAAAGTGGGGTCCCTGCACACAGTGCAGCGAGATTTCCAGCCTCTTTCCAGCCTATGGAGAAGGAGGTGGCTGCTCAGCTCCTGTCCCTGCTGATACCTCTCTATCTGCTCAGGGGGATGACGGAAGATTCCTGGAGTCTGTGTAAAAGCTGTTTTTGCAAGTCTTCCTCTAATACCTTCCACCAAAAGTAGTTCTCACCCCTAATCTTTGGGGGCTCATCTTGGATTCCTGGGTTCCGAAAGGCCACCGTCACCAGCACATTCAGGCAGATGCCATCCACGTGGTCTTTGCCCAGGTGTTGCAGTCCGAGCAACCCCTTGGTCTCCACTGCCAGATTGTGCAGAGTCAGGCACTCCTGTAGCAGCCGCAGGATGGCCACCTTGATACCACCCCTTTGCTCCATAGATGTGAAGCCACAGGCAGTAATGGGCAAGTGAGGTGTCCCTACTGTGCCCACCAACACCCATACTGACTGGACTGTTGTAAAGGTGGCCACGAGCCGCTGGCAAACCACACTGCAGGGAAGCTCTTGAGGCAGAATGAGAGGGTGTGTGGCTTGTTGGCAGAATTTGGCACCCAGCTCAACCAGGTGCAGAACATCATGGGCTCTAAGTGGACTGGGCAGGGAGACCCGTGGGTACCAGCCAGCCTGGAGAGACTCAGCATCTGCATCCTTGGAAGTCTTGAGAACTCCACCTAGGGGAGATTGGGGGATGAGGAGAGGGCCAGCATGAGAAGTGTTGAGTCTGAGAGAGTAAATGGCCACCCAAGCGTTCCAGGGGGAGACTTCCCACCCAAGCTCTTAGCCTGTAATTTGCAGAAGCTACAGTATGGCTGCCTAAGGAGAACAAACTGAGAAAGTGCTCCAATGCCACTAGGTGGGTTGTACCTGTGGGTCGAGCAAGGAATACAAAACGGATCCAGGAGGCACCCCTCTCCTCCACAGACAGCAGTGTCACTGGCTCGCAGAGCAGCCCAGCTTCCTCCTTCACCTCCCGCTGCATGGCCTCCACGATGGTCTCCCCAGGTTCCATCCTTCCTGCAGGGAGGTACCATGCTCCCCGGCACTCTCTCTTGGCCTCTTGGATCATCAGCACCTCATCCTGAGAGAGAAGCAAGACAATCTTCACTCTTACCCAGCCAGTCTGGGGCCAAGCAGCCCTTAACTGGATGGATGTTGGCCCAAAGCTCCCTTCAGGATTCTGGGTCCTCGGAGAGCCTGGTGTGGTTGAGTGCTGTGGCTGCCTCCTCTTAGCTGTAACTCAACTTTGGATTCAGAGGGATTTGTGTTGTAGCAAAGGGCCGAGGTCCCTGGGCATTGCTCCAAGGAGGCCCTATGCTGAAGGTTGCCACCACTTCAGTACTGAATCATACCTATGCCACTCTGTTGCTCTCGTGTTCCTTACAGGATTTACAAATAGCTTGTGGTATCGGATCCCCACTCTCTAGGGTCTGAGCTTTGAAACTCAGATCCATCCGCCCCAGTGCCACCTATCCCTACTTGGCCTGGATGTTTTAACATTGACTTGTACAGAGATGATCACTGAAAAAAAAAATTAAGAAAGAAAAGGAAAAGAAAAAGAAAACTCCCAAAGGGTCGGGTCGGAGGCCTGCATGCAAGCTCGCTATTGCTATCCGTGGAGCTGGGAGGGTCTAGAAAACCCTTCAGTAAGCCAGGCAACGTGCCAGACTACTGGTAAGGAAGGAGGTGTACTGCAGGCCTCTGCCAGTGGAGGCGAGGTCTAGTGGGTGAGACAAACCGCCCCGGGGCCTCGGCTTCTCCCTCTGTATTATAGTCTATAAGGACGATCTCAGCTCAGCGGCTAGTGTGAGAGTGCTTTGCAACATTGGGAAGCGCCACGCACAGGGAGCGGCCGTTGGCTCGCCTGTTCCCACCGGGGCTGGCGGCGCGCTCCCGAGACCAGCTGAAGGCCGGCGGCCGGACGCTCACCTGCTCGTTGAGGAACACGGCCAGCACCACGTAGCAGACATTCTTCCGCAGCCGCACGGGCGACAGCGGCTTGCCAGCCGGCTCCGAGTCACAGCTCTGCACCAGTAACCCCTTGCCCCCCAGCACGGTGGCCAGCGCCCCCGCCAGGCCTTCCGTGGCCATCAAGTCTCCAGGGAGGTGGCAAGCCAGGACTCGCCAGACCCCCGGAGGCAGGCGGCGGGGACCTAAGCTGCGACCGGCAGCCGAGCCCCTCGCCCCCTCCCCTGCCTTGAGGGCCAAGGCTAACGCGGAACCTTCGGGAGAGACCGGGCTGCTGATAGGCTGCTCGTCACCACGGCCTGCCCGGATTGGTCAGATCGCGGCGGTTACCGAGGGGGCGTGGCCCCGGGGACACGCCCCTGCCCCTCCCCCCCACCTCTCCGGCGTTTCAGTCGCTGGTCGCTCACTCCTCACTCTCCCTAGCTCTTAGCTAATTCCCCCAGCAGGCACTTGTCCGCGCGGGTTCCGACGGTGATGTCATCCTGCCTGTAGGGTGCTGAACACCACCGCGACCAGGGTCGGTGGCGTCACTCGCCTGATGACATTACGGAAGCCTAGGTTCCGCAATTAGCTCCCACTGTCCAGCTTTTATCATAAACAAACTAGAGAACTGCTCAAGACGAATAAGACCCAAATAACTTTCTGACGTCGTTAAAACGTTCTGAACGTCATGTGGCCGGGAGATTCTGATCTGTATAGATCGATGGACCCAGACATTTAAAAGGGCAGCTGCAGGATTGGTTTGGGCAAAAGAAGTGATTGACAAGGCTCAGAGGAGAGATGGGACAGGGTTGGAATGGTCAAGGTGGGACAAGTCTGCAGGTGAAGGAAAGGGATGGGGGAGGGAGATGAAAAAGAGCTTGGAGATCTCAATGCAACCTTGATCCAATCCCCTCTGCTCAGTGCATTTACCATGTAGTTTCAAGACTTCTGCAGCAGACTGCATCCTTAGAGGGCAGGGGTGGTGCCCTCCTACCCAAGCATGCAGGGCTGGCCGTGGGGAACAGGGTGTGGGTTGTTTTGGCCAGCTCTTGCTTCTCTCCCAGGCTGACCTTTCCTCCTCTGAGCTTCTTTAACCTCGGCTCAGGACAGGAAGGCAGGGCCAGCTGGGAGGAATCCACAGAGCAGGCCAAGTCTGGGCTCCTCACCCCATCCTAGCGTCCCTTTCCTCCTCCCTCCTGCTGGCTCTATGTGCCTCCTTTCGGGGACAGTGGCTTGGTGGTGCTGACAAAGCTCTGGAGTTTAAGCCAGACATCCAGCCACTGCTGGCTGGTTCTGTCTGTGCCCTGGTCTCAATGTCCTCATCTGTAGAGTAGGTCTCTAACAACCCTCCTCCCTGGTTGCTGAGAGGCCCGGAAGGCCTGGGAGGAGCTATGTGAACTATCTGAGCAGTTGCCAGGCAGCCCACCTATTCTCCAGTTAGAATAGCAAAACCATAGCACTTGTTGCTACATAAAGACCAGCCCATACAGCCCTGGTGAAACTGGGGAGTATAGCTCAGCATGCCTAAGGCCCTGGGTTCAATCCTCAGCAACACAAAACAAACAAAAAAGCTTCTATGCTCCTTGGGCTTCACTCCCAGTATCTCAGCCTCTCTCCCTGATGCTGACCCTGACTGCAAACTCTCTGGGGACACATCTCTGGGGGGGGGACCCACCTAGTGGCCCACAGTATTTTGAGGCACTTGAACACTGCTTGCTTGAGGCCACTGAAAACTCCCCACCTCCAAATAATTGTAGTCATTGGCAGAGGAAAGGTCTGACCCCAGGGTGCAGACCTGATTTACACTCTCTCCTTTCTCTTTTCCTTTCCCTTCCTCCCCTCCCCTCCTCTTGCATCCTTCCCGCTCCTCTCCTTGGTTATTCTCTTCCCTTTCCTCTACTCCCCTTTCTCTCTCCTCTCATCACTCTTTCTTTAGATCTTTTAGTTCCTCAGTTTTCCCATCTGTGAAGTGGAGGCAGCACTGGTCATAGACTCCATTCTGCCCCCCAGGGATGATTTGGGAGAGGGTGAGGTCATGTCTGGGCAGGCTGGGAGAGCTGCAGAGGCGTCCTAAGATAAACAGCAGACAGCCTAACTGCCTGGAAGAGCAAAGGCTGCCACAACCACAGTTCCATTCCCCCATTATCCTGGGGGAAGGGGAAAAGGCTCGCCTGCTCGCTCTGCTCGCCTGCTGTGCAAGGCCTAATTGTCTCCTCACAAGCCACAGTGAAGCAATAGAACACCATAAGCCCCTTGTAAACACAGAAGGCATTTGAAGAGGGTACAGCCCTTCCCAGAGTGCCTGGCAACAAAAAAGTTTGGATTTCTCAAGGCCTTGAGGAAAGACGAATGGTCAGAGACAGGTGAATGAGTCCTAGACAGAAAGAGGATCATGTAACAGGGAAGGAAACTGAGACAGACCCCCCCAAGTATGTCTTCTATCCTCTGAAGGGGAGTGGGGGACACTCCTGGAGTGGGCAGCCATGGACAAGCATAGTACAGCTCTCCCAGCACCTATGGGAGCAGGCCATCTTAGGGGGCACACTGCACATGTATAAAAGACCTTGTGAGCAGGGAGATTTGAGGTAGGCAGAGTCAGGTACACTGGGACAGGGCTGGGCAGGCAGGATGAGGCAAGAGTGTCTGCTATGCTAGAGTCCTTTACAATATAGCAAATCCTGTCCCTTGACAAAGAAGAGATCCAGGAGAAGGGCAGTAGGAGCATGGGCCTTGGGATCTAGACTACTACTCCTTGAAAGACCTTGGAGTCACAGTCAAGTGTAGATCAGATACAGGCATTTCTAGACCCCGGGACACAAAAGGAGTATTAGGGGAATACTGAAATTCTTATAAAGCTGTGGCTTCCCAGATAGGATTGTAGTAATGTTAAGGTCTTGGTAATGATAAAAGCACTATGTTTGTATAAGATATTCCTACCAGGGGACACTAGCTAAAGGTAATGAAACCCGAACCCCCCCACCCCCACCCCAACAGAGTTTCTCTGTATAACAGCTCTGCAATCCTGGAACTCTCTTTGTAGCCAGGGTTGGCCTTGGACTCACCAAGATCCTCCTGCCTCTGCCTCCCGAATACTGAGATAAAGGTGTGTGCCACCACCGTCCAGCAGTAACTGAAAGCTTTATGTGCTATATTTGTTTTGTTTTGTTTGAGGGTTTTGCTTATTTATTTATTTTTTTTTTAGAGGCAGGGTCTCACTATTTAACTCTGGATGGCCTTGAACTCACAGAGATCTCTCTGTCTCTGCCTCTCAAGAGCCGAGAAGTTAAGGTATGGTGCTGCCACACCACATCGTGTGCTCTACTTGTGATTTATTGTAAACCTATAATTATTTCTAGATAAAATGTAGGAGAATTTTATAGAAAAAGGGAGAAGTAGCTAATGGATGCAGATACACACCTGAGATCACTTCCAACCTTTTAGCTGGGGTCTGACACAAGTTCTGGAGCTGAAGGTGGACAAGCGGCCATAGGCCCTGGCAAAAGCAGAGGCCCCAGGGACTCCCCTGGGGCAGTGTCAACCGAGGGCCCCACCTACATCTCGGGGTCAGATGCTACTAGTGCTCACTCTATTCCTGGTCCAATCCTAGAATAAGTGAGCGCTGGTCCAGCTGCTGTTTTTAAGGGCCACACACATGGACCTCAAGGGAGCTGTGATGGTGGAGGAGGGGTGTCCAGGGGGGATTGACGCCCACATGCCTCTGCCACTCCACCCCCATTAACAAAGTTCAGTGTTACATCTTTCCCAGGAATGACCCTGCAGTTTCGGCTCAGGGTGGCAAGGCTATGGAAGGTAAAGTGTTAAGAACATGTCACTCAGTGCCACTTGGAACAAGGTCAGCATTAAAGTCATGAGGATGGAGGAGCAGAAACGCCTGTCTTTAAACCCCATAAAGCACTAAAACCAGAATGAAAGCAAGGTGTCTTGAGTCAGCAAACTTGGTTCAAATCCCATTCTGCCACTAAAATGGCTGGGTAACCTTGGGTGACTTATTTAGCCCCAAACTGCCCGTTTCTTCTGTAAGATGGAAATAGATTGTCTGTACCTCAAAATAGCATCAGGGATTAAATGAGATGGTTTAAATGAAATGAAAAGGACACAGTAAAACATGGCTGTCCTCTAGAGTTCCCCACTCCTTTTAATTAAAAAAAAAAAAAAAAAAAAGTAAAAATGAGAAAAGTCTAACTGGTTTTTTCTTTTTAAGATGGGGGTCTCGTGAAGCTTAAGTTGGTCTCAGAGTCACAATGTAGCCAAGGCTGGCCTTTAACTTCTGATCTTTTTGCCTTTCCAGCTCCCCTAGTATTGGGCTTTCAGGTGTGTTCCTTCACACCCAGCTATAACACAGTTTAAAAGAAAAAAAAAAAAAATCAAGATTCCCTGAAGAAAATGCCAGAAGGAAATACAAAAGAATCTAGCAAAGCTTGGGTCGGCTGAGATGGGATTGTGGGTGACTTAGTGTTTTTTAAATGCTCTGAACAGATGTTATATTTATAATAAAAATGTTTATTTAATTAAAAAAAAATCCCCAAACCACAGCAGGAACAGTTAAGTATAACAAGAGCTGGCGCATTTGTGCGGTTGAGATACACAGGGGAAGAGGTAGAGAGCGAAGCGTTACCAGAAGGGCCACAGGGTAGGGGGTCAGCTGTCTGAGGCAGTGAAGCTCTGCCTTGGGGGCCTGGACACCAGGAGCAGTTGGGATGAGCAAGGGCTCTCCGGTCTCTCCAGGTCAGAGCACACGGGATAGGCGGGACGGGGTGGGGGTGGGGGTGGGGTGGGGATGGGGGGAAGGGGGGGACTTGGAATCTCCACAGGCTGATGCCACCCAGGGAGGCCGTCTCAGTGCTGCACACCCCAGAGCTCTGCCTTTTTCTGCTGTCAGTCAGGAACATCTCCAGTCCCCAGAAAGCTCCAGGGGTCCAGGCCTCCCAAAGATCTGGCAGTGTTTTCTGAGGTCTCTGTCACCGGGTCCCCTGTCCCTGTCCACCGGTCTTTGCTCCAGAGCAGATTTCTGTGTTGGCCTTCTCTCCCCAGCCCTTGTGGCCAGCAGAGTAAGGCCAACCTGTGCTGGCAGCAGACACCGAACACCGATTTTAATACAGACCGGGAGGCAGAGAGGTAGAAGCAGGGCTGCAGAGGTACTGCTCATGTCGTTCCCTCCAGCCAGCCTGAGCCATGAACTGAGGCCCTCTCCTCCCTAACTCCACAGCTCTTTAAAGGGAAGGATTCTGTGGCTTCCCAC